TCTTTCCTTCCCCCAGACAATGCTGTGGTGCATTACTTGGAAGAGGGGTCCAGAAGCGTTAGGCCCTAGGTGACTGGCGTGCGTGCCTCTCTGGGTCCCCCTCCCACTCCGGCCTCCATGTTACGTTTAATGCTTCTCTTCCTCTCCCCTGTTTGAGGCCGCTGAGCTTTGAACTCTGAAGGAAAAGCTTGACAAAGCAGTCACCCGTCCAGCTGCCCCTCCCAAACTCCTCCCCCACATGAATAGAAAACAGGAGAACAAATTAAGTGATCCTTTTTGGTTCCTTTAAAATTTTTTGTCGAAATCTAGTACTTTTGATTTTAAGTAGGCCAAAGAAAAAGTCAAAACGAATTTAAAAAGCAAAACCAGTATTCATGTTATTACAGACAAGTTTGAAACAGTCTTGTTGATTACACATTCTCCTGGGAAATCACTTCAGATGATCTGTAATATCTGTGTGTTCCAGAGCAGCTCGGGCTAGACCTTGTCCCTTTGTGAGATAACTGTGTACATGCAGAGAATCCCACCCACTTGGGGCAGATTTTGCAGAGAAAGGACTTGGTTCCAGTAAGACCTGAAATTGCTTGAACATGTAACTTGGAATAAGAGGTAAAATTCAGACTGTGAACACTCAGCGAGATAGGCAGCACTTCTCTGCAGAGCCTGGCGCCTGTTACCTGGACTAGCCCACTGCGATGATTCTGCTTCAGGTCCCATACTGTTTCCTTAGTAACCGTGGGTCTTCCCAGGAGCAGGTGGGGTGCGCACCGGCCACAGGGGCAGCCTGGGATTCCTGGCACTGCCCCTTGAGGAAAGGCCAAGTACAAGCAGCGAATGTAGCTGATCTCTTTTACAGCTGGAATCTGGTTTCTCATTTTGCAAAGAGCCAGACCTGCTTCACATCAAAAGGGAACGTAGAGATACGGTCTGTGTTAACTGATTTATGCTGCATTAGGATGTAGGAAAAATGCTGCGAATCAAATTTGTTCTTTATTCGTTGTTTATCAGAATGTTTGTGGCTTAGCCGCGTAGTAGTTAGATACCCCCCTTTCACGGTTTTTAATCATTTAACATCGCAGACATTCCCAATACAATCTATGAGTGTGTATCTTCTCTGCTTTTAGGCGGTCGTACTGGGAGATGCGGGGCAACGCCCTGGAGAAGAAGTCTAACTATGAAGTATTAGAGTAAGTGCGGCACGTCCGGGCGCTGCCTGCAGGCACTCAGAGCTAAGTCACCTTTCAAACTGTGGATTTTACGGGTTTATCTTTACTTAAAACTTAATATTAACTCTGAAACACTACTGTTTCTAAAACTTTTATATCCGGAAGAGGAAAGTTTTATTAAGAAATGAATTCTTGGTGACGTTAATTGTGTTAGCAAACATTTAAATTTGTTGATAAATGTCTTAAGGTTAATATTCTTTGGCATGTTAACACATAAATAATAAACTCTTCTGTCTCTGTAGATTTAACCACATTGGGATGGAGTTTCACTTCTAATTTATATTGAACTATGAAATTGTTATTATTTATATTCTCTTTATAAGTTTATTAGGGTTTTTTTTTCCCTTAGTTAAAAAAAAGTGGAAAGATGGGAGTTATTTGTTGCTCACGTATCAGAAAATTTAGGATAACGGAATATTTTTCCAACAGTGAAGTTAACAGGCGTTAGACTGTTACGTTAGAGTATTTAAAATGCGTATAAGACAGAGTGGGGCTTATGTCTTGGGAGGCTGAAAGTTCTGCACTTTATCTGTTGATAATTAATTCAGCAAAAAAATCACTGATATTTGTTATTTCCAGTTTTATTTTCATTAGCAATGGTGCAACTTTTTGCCAGCACTTTTCCTGGCCGTATTGTTACTGAAATTCTTGTGCTATTTGGAAGATGTTACTACAGTGAAGTAAAAGGTTGTCCATAAGTACCCTGCGATAATAGAGACTTGACATGGCTTTGGATTTTATTTGACTTTCTAGGTCAGCCCAACTGCTATCACACTGTGAAAGTATAATGTCCCACCACTTTGAAAACAAGATATTACAGGGGAGGTGTGGTCATTTGAAAATAAAAGCAGAAGTAAATATTCGGGGGAATTAGTTATGGAGCAGCTCCGACCATTTGCACTAATAACTGGTGGTAGACGTGATAGTTATTTTGCAATCGCACAAGCCTCCTTTGTCCTAATTGTGACAAGTGAGGTAGAGCCCCGGGCAGCCTGTCTCGTTGCTGCGGCGCGGATTCATCCCTTGATCTCTGGACCTACTGTATTAGCATAATGACAGTGTGCAGCGTATAAGGCACTCACTAAATATTTGTGGTTGTGTGTTTATGGACACATCCATCACATAATGTCATGCCTCTTAACAGATTAAATAAGGATAAAACACGGAGTTGTTAGAGTTGAATGAAAACTTTTAGAGATCAATTGGGATATCTTAGGCAGAATGATTTTAAGTAGAATTTTCCCTGCCCTTCAGTTGACAGCATAGAAGCAACAATATCATTAATAACATTTAAAAAACAAACAAACAAACAAAACTAACATTCACTGTGGTTTAGGTGGTTTAGGTTTTTGTTTAAAATTGCCGCATTCCTCAGCCTGAAAGACTCTTCCTACTGCTTAAAATACAAATTACCAGAATCAGAGGAATCATTGAAGGTCTTGTCTCAGGTACATGCTAGGTTTGTTCTCATTTCAAATGGAGGTTTTTGAAAAATAGGAATATTTGAAAAATATCCGTTTGTTTCTTCGTTCATTTAACAAAGATTATTGAGCATCTACTGAGTCCTTGGCAGCTAAGTGCTAGAGATGCAGAGGTGGATAATCCAAAGTTTTCACCCTCAGGAAGCTTACAGCTGGAAGGGAGACTCTCAGACAGTAAGCAGAGTTGTAAAATAATATAGTAGGGACTGAAGTAGAAGCTTCTAGAGGGTGTGTAGGGGGGTGGTACTCCATGTCTGAGGTCTGATGGGAGATGCTGTCTAGCCTGAGTGGTGGAGAAGGAACGTGGGCAGGCGGGAGGCTGCTGCTCCGGAACCAGCCAGTCCCGGGAGAGAGCGCAGCATTTGCCAAGACGCAGAAACGGGGATGTCAGTTTACTGCGGGTAGAACACCTTGCCCGGGGGGGGAGGGCGGGGATGTGTGTTGTAAACAGCTCCAGGCGTTGACAGGGCCTCCAGACGATTAGGTCGTGATGACTCAGTGAACCAGGAGGAGCTTTGTGATGGAGAATTCCATATTCCCAAATTGGAATGGTATTAAAGAAAGTTAAAAATGGAAGTAGGGAACCCAGAAACTGTTGCATCTTTCCTTTCTCCTGGAGGAAGAATGAGGCTCTGACATGGACTCCATAGCAGGAGCAGTGGAGGTGGGAGTTTACCAGAGTCCGGGTCTGCGGACTGGCTGCCTGGTTAGATTGGGGTGAAGGAGGCCAAGGAGGCATCTGGGGATTCTCGGTTTTCTGTTCTGGGCCAGTGGGCATGTCAGTCACAGAAACAATTTCGTGTTTGGAGGGAAGGAGGATAAGTTGGTTGGGACATGTTGATTTTCAGTTCTGAGGGAACATTTGTGTTATTTAAATGAAAAAGGAAACAGAAATGTTGGTTTATTTTCTGTGTTGTAAAATCACTAAAACCACAGCTTTAAAAAAAATCTCTGATGGTACCCAGTGCCTAGATCTTGGTTTCTAATATCATTCTTCAATGCAAGGAAGCAGGACTCCTGATCCGAGGGGCAGGGGGAGATATATGGGCCTAGAGCATCTTGTAGAGCTGGAAAGGAGCAAGTGCTCAGAAAAGCAGGTGGTGGGGCTGTGTCAGAGCATCAGATTGGGCATTTGGGCAACAGTGAATGACTTAGTTTTGGGTTATAGCCCAGAGTATGACATAAATATCCATGGGCCTATATGAATATAAATAATTGAATAAATAAATATATAGATAAATCTCCCACATAGAAGAATTCTAAGTAATTTATGTAGATACAGCCTGAGGAGTCAGATCATAAAATCCCACCCTATAGTGTGGGCTCTGCTTAGTGACATGTGTCTAAAGAATACAGTGTGGAAGGGTGTGTAAGTAACCTGACAGTGGAGCCATCTGACAGGTGCTACCTCAGCCAGGTGCTCAAGGTCAGCATCAACACCAGCAGTTATGTTGATGGCATGTGTGCCCTTGGTGTGATCTGTTGAGAATGACACTTAATCTCTGTGGTCTGCTTCCCTAAGACCTAAAAACCCAATCCAGACTTGGCGAAAAACAGGTAATTCTCATTTGAGGGACGTTTTACAAATTACCGAACCAGTAGTACTCAGAACTGTCAAGATCTTTAAAAACAAGGCAAGTTTGAGAAACTGACACAAGCCAAGAGGAACCTAAGGAGATGTGATGATTAAATTGGATCCTGTGAAACAGAAAAATGACATTAGGGAAAACACTGATGAGATCTGAAAGTGTAGGGTTTGTTAGTAATGATGTATCAGAACCGATTTATTAGTTATGGCAGAGGTGCCATAGTAATGCAAGGGAAAGCCAGGTGTGGGCTATTCAAGGAACTCTCTGTACTATCTTTGCAACTTTTCTGTAAATCTAAAACTATTCTAAAATTAAAAGTTTATCTTGGGAACAGTTCTCAAAGCTTTCTGAGATGCTCTTCCCGGGTTATAATCCTCCAATTTGGCTCGAATAAAAATTTCCATTTCTTAAAAGAATAAAAAGAACGAGAGAATTGAAGAGGAAAAAGCCAGGAGGTACTTAGAGATGATCTAAAAAGGTGAATCATTGTGCGAAGCTGGAGAAGGAGGGCCAGGTCAGTGGCTTGCATTGTAGCGTGCCCGGCTGTCAGAGAGTTGTCCTCAGGGCCACTGCGATGGGGACTGTATCCCAGCCTGTCTTTGTGAGAGGCCCACGTCGGAACGGGAAGGGTAACTGAGCCGTGGCAACTGGGTGAGAGCCAGAGGTGTCATGGGAATGAAGAGAACAGGTACCTGGGGGAAATCTCTGTGGATAATACATTTGCATATTTTTGGCAACAAGAAAAGTCTGTAAAAAGAAAGAAAGTGAAGAAGCAGGTATCTATCAAGATGGATTTGGAGGTACATTTGGAGAGAGGAGCGTTAAGTTCAAGATTTCTTTGAAATCAGCGTCAAAAATTGCATTAAAGTTGGTGTGAATTTGGCTTATTTCTAAAAATTACAGAAATCGAGGTGGCAGGAGAACAGATATGTGGAAGAGGGCCCACTGGAGTATTAATCAGTGCCTCCAGAACTTCAGAGTGTCTGTGGGGTCAGTGGCATGGGAGGTGTGGGAATCACCAGACATGAATTAGGGCCAGTGACTATTGCCACCTGCAGACAGAACAGAGCAGTACAGCGTGATTTTGTCAATGAGAGGCCTCCTTAGAGGATATTGATGAAAAACGGAATTATCTGTTATTCCAAAAATGGCCGTTTTGTATTAGTTATTCTATATGTAAGATATTTAAATTAAGTAAACATGATGGTTAAGGAAAAGAAGGGGCAGTATGAGAGACTTCCAGTTCCCGGCTGTTACTGTGCTGGTTTGCTGTACCTGCTTTCTGAATTCCTCTGCTTCTGCCTCACCATAGGGGTCCTTCATGATGGCGTGAGTTGTGTGAATTCACTACCCCATCTCAGTGTGAGAAGTGGGACGATGGAGGGGGCTCTTGCAGCAGGTTGCTCCCCTGTTGGCTGGCTCTTCCACTTACTGTCCTGGATCAGTAAAGCCCTGGGTTTCTGTTTCCAGATCTGTAAAGTAGGGACCATGGTGATACCTACCTACATACTGGGTTGATGTGGGGAGTTAAGAGAGAGAATCATGTCAAGAGCTTAATATAGTGCCCAGCACTGAATAAATGTTGCCCGTAATTATCATTGGGATTACTATCCAGAGGAGAGAGTTTAAACACCTTCCCATTTGGGGGCTGTTTTATATTCCTTTTGTAAATTGTACTTTTCTTCTGTTTTCCATTATGTTTATGTTTTTTTCTTATTGAGATCTTTGTCATACTAACCCATGGTTCGTAATATTTGTTGTATATATTCTCTCCCAATTTGTCTTTTATTTATTTATTTATTTAAAATTTTAATTTATTTTTGGGTGCGTTTGGCCTTTGTTGCTGCGCGCGGGCTTTCTCTGGTTGCGGTGAGCGGGGGCTACTCTCTGT